TTTACTAGGTTTTCATTTTTTTTCTTTCTCAAATTCGCTCAGGGGTTTCTGTCTAAATTTTAAAGATGAGGAGTTATCAGCATGACTGATATCCTCATCTTTGTTGTTGTTATCCTAACGTTTCGGCTGTTGTACCCTTCCGCCTTCTTCAGGTGTCTATCGATCAGGGTAACATTCAGGGAATTTCGAACTGAACTCTTTATTTAATCTACGATCTTCTGAAAGAGCGCATCCACTCACTGATCTGGAATGGGTGAACCGTTCAAATTACAAATACCACCTCTCATTGTATTCCATCACTAGGTCTGTTAACAAAAGTCTTATTACTGGCATGCCACGATGAAGAAGAGTGCAAGCAGGTCAATGGTTACATGAATACTTATGGGAAAATATATAATCTGTATATATCAGAATAATGATAAAATAGAAAAAAATCATTTGAAACACTTTTCGTCCATCGAAAGGACTTCGTCAAACTCTTTGAGTCTTCTTGGGCTCACGTTTTCCACCGATATGAAATGGAGTAATATTACATATTTATAAATCTATTATTCGTCCGTTCACTGAATATTGTTGCCACAAATCGAGATTCTTGACAAAATTCAAAGAAGCATCTGTAATGTAATTGGTCTTGACCTGGCATCTCGACTTCGGTCATTTTCTAGCCGACATTACGTGACTTCCCTCTCTCTCTTTTCTACAAATATTTTCATGGAACTTCTAATCAGCTTTCCTCCTTGATGCCTCAGTTGCATGAAAAATGTTAGTAAGGAAACTCCCATCAATACTAGAAAGGGCAATAACAGCTACTGGACTTGAGAAATCTATTCTCCTGAAAAATTGTTTTAAGAGAAAGATTTTATAAATTTCATCTGACATTAATACAAGCTGCTCGGTCAATGAATGCTGAGTGTTTCCTTATTGGGAAACAGTTAACATTGCTATTACAATGCATACTTATGATTGTTATTGCAATACTTTGTTAAAGATTTTAAGCTTAAATATTTAACAATGCAGTAAAGGGATTTCCATGGGTATTTTATAGTTGTGGAAGACGCAAAGAGCTGATTCAATCATTAACTTAAGAATTACGCTTCAAATAGGGAAACTATAAAATTTCAAGTAAGGCGATAAAGCTACTAAGACGCTTACTTAGGATGGAAGATAGTAGAGTGAAAGAAACTGAGTAGAAAGGAAAATAAAATGAACAGGATTGAAGGAATCAGTGGATGGCTAGTAACGTTGTATTTAATTTTTTGTAGATTGTAGTCGACAGGAAAACGAGAAACTGGAGGACACTTCCATAGGCGAGAAGGGCGAGAGAAGAAACTATTTGGACAGAACTTACAGTTACATTTAGCAATTTCAAGAGTAAAATGATGAGACCTAACTACCAATCTAGTCCACTTAAATTCATGAAATTTAGGTACTAAAGAGCAAAGTTCATCAGAATAATAGCCATGAAAATATTTATAGACAAAGTCACAGAAGAGCTAGATTACGATGGTGGGCAAATGAGTGAAGCTGAGATGCCACATCGAGACCGATGATATTGCAGATTCTTCTTTGAATTCTGTCCAGAATCTGTAGGTACACAGCAGAAGCGCCGGACCAAGTGTGGCAACAATATTCAATGGATGGATGAATGGTAGATTTATAATGGTGCAAGACAGAATCGAACGAGTAAAATTGTCTCGAACGACATTGTGAACCAAGATTCAAAGCAGGAGACTTAGCAATCGGCCTAATGTAGTCGTTCCAGGTTCATATCAATGGAAAACTTTAAACCGAGGATGTGCAATCAATTATTTCCTTGGGGTAACTTCAGCTAACTTTAGCGTTAGTAGCTTTGCTGCTAACAATAAATATAATCTAATAAATGTTTTGTTACGAAACGAAGATTCGTTTTTACTTCTTAGCAAACGCAGCAATGGATTTTTTTCTTCTCTTATTAAGTCAAGATCTTTCACCTTTCCACTTAAAGGAAACACTTAACGACTTCCCTCTGTGTATTGTTTCAAGCGCTGACCGCGGGTAATTGAAACTGCGGATAAGTTTGGGGCATTATTGTTGGAGAAGAGATGGGCAGTGACGGGTTACACTTGTTCAAGAGATGACATAAAGGTCAAATCGAAGATGACATCACGAAAATCCTCCAGATCCAGACGAAGAATATTGAAAAGTTTAAAAAAAAAAGAACCGGAAAGAGAAAGAAGAAAAAATGGTGGAAGATTAAAATTATTGGGTTTGAAGAGGAAAAGAGAAAGACTAGAAAATAGAGAGAGAGACAAAGAGAGAGAGAGAGAGAGAGAGAGAGAGATTAAGAAAATAGGTAAGAGAGGAGAAAAATGAGAAACGAGAAAATGCGTAAGAAAAAGCTCAATGTTAACAAATAGTGTGAGAAATAGAGAAAGTTAAGGAGAGCAAGGAAGAAAGTAATGAGAGCAAGAAAGACGGACAGTAAGAAAGCAAGAAGTGTAAAAAAAATAAAGTAAAGAGAGAAAGAAAGAGAGTAAGAAAGTAAGAATAATAAAAGAGTAAGGAGAATAATAAAGAAGATTAAGAGAGAGAGAGAGAGAGAGAGAGAGTAAGGAGAGTAAGGGGAGTAAGGAAGAAAGTAAGGAGAGTAAAAAAAGTAAGGAGAGTAAGAATGAAGGAGAGTAAAAAAGTAAGGAGAGTAAAAAAGTAAGGAGAGTAAGAATGAAGGAAAGTAAAAAAAGTAAGGAGAGTAAGAATGAAGGAGAGTAAGAAAGTAAGGAGAGTAAGAATGAAGGAGAGTAAAAAAGTAAGGAGAGTAAGAATGAAGGAGAGTAAAAAAAAGTAAGGAGAGTAAGAATGAAGGAGAGTAAAAAAAGTAAGGAGAGTAAGAATGAAGGAGAGTAAAAAAAGTAAGGAGAGTAAGAATGAAGGAGAGTAAAAAAAGTAAGGAGAGTAAGAATGAAGGAGAGTAAAAAAGTAAGGAGAGTAAGAATGAAGGAGAGTAAAAAGTAAGGAGAGTAAGAAAGAAGGAGAGTAAAAAAAGTAAGGAGATAAGAATGAAGGAGAGTAAAAAAGTAAGGAGAGTAAGAATGAAGGAAAGTAAAAAAGTAAGGAGAGTAAGAATGAAGGAGAGTAAAAAAGTAAGGAGAGTAAGAAAGAAGGAGAGCAAGAAAGCAAGGATAGTAAGAAAGTAAGGAGGGCAAGGAAGAAAGTAAGGAGAAAAAGAAAGTAAGAATAAGAATGAAGGAGAATAAGAAAGAAGGAGAGTAAGAAAGTAAGGAGAGTAAGAAAGTAAGGATGGTAAGAGGGTAAGAAAGAAGAGTAAGAAAGAAAGTAAGGCGATTTAGGAGAGTAAGAAAATAAGGAGAGTGAGAAAGAAAATTAAGAGAGTAAATAGATCAAGGAGAGTAACAAAGTAAGTAGAGTGAGAAAGAAAAGTAAGAAGAGTCATAAAGAAGGAGAGTAAGGAAAAAGAGAAAGAAAGAAAGTCAGGAGATTAAGGAGAGTATGAAAATAAGAAGAGTAAGAAAGAAAGCAAGGACGTTAAGGAGAGTAAGAAAGAGAGAGCGAGTAAGAAAGAAAGAAAGAAAGTAAGAAAGAAGGAGAACAAGAAAGAAAGAGAGTAAGAAAGAAAGTAAGGAGATTAAGGCGAATAAAAAAGAAGAGTAAGAAAGTAGATTAAGGAGAGTAAGAAAGAAGGAGAGTAAGAAAGAAAGAGACTAAGAAAGAAAGTAAGGCGATTATGGTGAGTAAGGAGAGTAAAAAAGAAAAGTAAGAAAGAAATTAATGAGGGTAAGAAGAGTAAGAAATAAAGATGGGGGGGGAAGAACGAGGAGAGAGAAATTGACGAAAATGAAGGATAGAAAGATTAGAAGGATGAAAAGCGGAAAATGAAGAAAGTTTAGTTCAAAGAAAAAGAGGGTCATTAAGAAAGAGACATTGAGAGAGAGAGAGAGAGAGAGAGAGAGAGAGAGAGAGAGAGAGAGAGAGAGAGTTCGAAATATTGGTAAGAAGTGAGTAAAAAGAAAGAGACTAAAAAAATGAAGGGAAAGAAAGGAGAAAGAAAGAGAAAAAGAAAAGGAAGAAAGAAACAAACGAAGGATTAAGCGAAAATGGAGATAGAAAATGAAATGAATAATTTAAAAAACGAGAGAGAGAGAGAGAAGTGCGAGAAAAAGGTGTGTGTGCGTATATGTATGAGAGAGATACAGAGAGAGCTGATATATTTGTGTGACAAAAAATTGTGTGTGTGAAAGAGAGAAAAGAGACTTTATATATGTATGTGTGAGAGAGAGAGTGATAGAACAGGAAAGTTTATATATGTGCATGGAAGAAAGAGATACACAGAGAGAGAGAGAGAGAGAGAGAGAGAGAGAGAGAGAGAGAGAGAGAGAGAGAGTGCATATGTGTTTATGAAAGGATACGCTTGTTCGTGAAAGAGAGTTTAGTGACTTTATGTATGCGTGTATGAGAGGGAGCAGGTATCTTTGTATGTATGTATGTATGTATGTATGTATGTATGTATGTATGTATATTTGTGTATGTGTACGAGAAAGAGAAAGAGAGAGAGAGAGAGAGAGAGTGCATATGTGTTTATGAAAGGATACGCTTGTTCGTGAAAGAGAGTTTAGTGACTTTATGTATGCGTGTATGAGAGGGAGTAGGTATCTTTGTATGTATGTATGTATGTATGTATGTATATTTGTGTATGTGTACGAGAAAGAGAGAATGAGAGAGAGAGAGAGAAAGAAAGGGAGAGATAGTAAGAGAGGAAAAGAGAGAGGGAGCATGTATCTGTGTATGAATGTGTACAAGCGGGAGCGAGAGATCGTAAGATAGTGAGAGAGGAGGGGAGAGAGGGAATATGTGTTTGTGTATGGAGGTATCTGTGTATGTAGGTAAGTAGGTATCTGTGTGTGTATATGAGGGAGAGATAGAAAGGGAGAGAAGAAAAGTGATAAAGAGAGAGCGAGAAAATTGGGGCTTCCTTCTAGAAATTTATTTCCAGCCAAATTTCAAACATGAACGAAAGGGAACAGGAAAATGCATTGCAAAAATTTCAGGATTGCTACCCTCCACACTTTCCTTATCACTTCGTACCTCTCAAGATAAGAAAGAAAGACCCCCCCCACCACGTCAAACTCTAACGTTTTGAAATTTTCCGCTCATAACTCACAATGAGATTTCTGAGGTGGATTTAATCTCTGTCTCTCCCTATCTATCTATCTATCTATCTATCTATCCCCGTCCATTTTCTATCTCAGTGTGTTCATTTTCTTTCTTTCTTTCTTTCTTTCTTTCTTTCTTTCTTTCTTTCTTTCTTTCTTTCTTTCTTTCTTTCGAGATATCTCCGTCCATTATCTATCGCATTGTGTTCATTATCTATCTATCTATCTATCTATCTATCTATCTATCTATCTATCTATCTCCGTCCATTTTCTATCTCAGTGTGTTCATTTTCTTTCTTTCTTTCTTTCTTTCTTTCTTTCTTTCTTTCTTTCTTTCTTTCTTTTTTTCTTTCGAGATATCTCCGTCCATTATCTATTGCATTGTGTTCATTATCTATCTATCTATCTATCTATCTATCTATCTATCTATCTATCTATCTAATTGATGTCACATTCAAAACTCCGAAGAACCTTTAAGCAACCGCGCCATCCACTCGTCAGTAAGTTTCAGCAATTGACTGCGAATTTTCTCTTTCTCCTTAAATTTATATATACATTTAAAAAATAATTTATGTGTTGTTTATTTGTGCTAGATTGAGTTTTCTTATTTATGTGTGAGCGTGTGTGTGAGCGCGCGTGTATGTGTGTGTGTGTGTACGCGTATATGTGTGTGTATGTGCGAATGTGTAGAATGTAATGGTTATTTCTCCTTTTTCATCATTTTCTGTCTCCCTGTTCCTTTTCCTTCTTTCTTTCTTTCTTTCTTTCTTTCTTTCTTTCTTTCTTTCGGCTTTGAGACACACACACACACACGCACACACACACACACACACACGCACACACACGCACACACACACACATATATATATGCAATAATAATAATAATAATAATAATAAAATATATAATAATATAATTATAATAATCTTATAAATATAAGCAGTTATACTCGTCTGGAAAAACCTTAGGTGTTTTGGCTTGTAAATGAACAAACCAATACCCAAGAAAAAATAAGGAATAAAAAGAAAGAACTAAGAACATGTAATTGAGGCGAAAACAATCGACCAGAATCCAAGAAAAAAAAAACTCCAACACAAGTAAAGTAAAAATAACTAAGCAAACTACTCAAGACACTAAGTAGAGCAAATCTAACTACGAACCTAAAGAGCCAGGCAAACCTACATAGGTTTCACCTACACGGATCGTCAGGGTACGCTGGCTGTACCCTAGGTAGGTTTGCCTGGCTCTTTAGGTTCGTAGTTATATATATATATATATATATATATATATATATATATATATACACACACACACACATACACATTATTTATATATATATATATATATATATATATATATGAGGGGTGGTTAGATAATAAATGGGTGAGAGGTTTTCTTTCATTCGTTGTTACGGACGGATGAGCACATCTCATATTTTTGGGCAGCTCTCCAAAGATAATAGCGAAGATATTCAATGCTTCTAAATTAGATTGATTAGTTTTCAATGTCAAGCCTTGTTGTGCAATTTTATATCTACTTTTGTGTGAGTGGATCCAGTGGTGATCGAACTCGCTACTCAGTAATAATGGTCAGCCAGTTTAGCTTTGCGAACACCGAGGCGCCATGGATGTTCTAAGATTCAATAGCTTTTAAATAGTTCCTCTACCCAATTCTGCTGTCGTAGAGATCAGAACAGCGTGTAAATGACTCTTTTTGAGTAGTTACACGTCTACTTATCATCTCTCAGTTGCGTCTCTGTCTTTGGAGAGAGTGAGCTCAGAGGTTTCTCTGTCAAAGGACAGAGGGGCAACTGAGGAAAATTATACTGAAGAGGTGCCCAGAGTATATGGGAGGACAGAGTAAATGCCGTGTAGAGACTAGAACTAAACTAACTTGTGATTCAAACTATTCAAAGTGGACAAGTCATGAAAACTAACCAATATAGCTTGTCATATATTCCCTGAAAGATTCCGAGGGACCTAATGACAGTATCTCTAATTATTTATTGACAAGGTCAGATGCTTATGTCGCTACTGGGATCAATCATCCTCGCCTTCCATTCAATTTGAAGCTATAACTTTGCATATCTCTGGGATTTATTGTGTAAAATTCTGAGATCTCTGGGATTTATTGTATAAACATGTGGGGTCTGTCACCAAGATCCAGTTTTCTTTCCTCTCTGGGATTATTATTAACTCTACTGACCGATTAATTTACTCCGCATTCATCAGCTACTGCGCTTTCATAAACATTCAATAAACTTCTCTGGATGGTTTCACTTCATCATGAGTGGAGAACTGGTGTTCTCATTGTAACATATCTATGGAGTGTGTCAGCAAACTGGAAATCCACGTTGCACAAACCTTTGAGGAGCTAATAATCTGGATTAAAAAGTATGTGCTATCATGGTTCATCTGGGATTTTTTCTCTCTCTCAAACTGTTTGGCATCTATTCTCGTTTACAGCAGCAGCTGGCCTGCCATAACGGAACCTGTCACTGAGATCAAGTGCTCCTTTTCTCTAGGATAATTTTTATTGACACATTTTTACAAACGCTGCCTTTTCATAATTATTCCCTGAGCTCTTTTGAATGTGTTTATAACTTTCATACAAGTGGTAAGGTATATTTAATTGCAGAATTTACATTTTTTCTTGTTTAAAACTTTTTCTTTTCTTAAACAGCATTATGAAATGAAATTGTTAGTTGTTGTGAGTTTAATGTTAATTTCCGGTTTGTCCTTTGATCAAAGTGGATGTCCATAGTAATTTGAAGTGGAATTTAGAATTGTCCGTTTCTTACACTTGATGAAACCGAAAGTTAGTGAGCTCAGTACACCTTACTATTTAACCCATAACCGAGGGGAAGAGGCACGGATTCATACCTTTCCCAAAGTGATTAGTTCGTGCAGTAGACGAGCACATATTTGTAAATAGAGCGCCGATTTCACTTTCCGGGCCGATATCCATTAAACTATTCAACCATCATTATGTATGGCGGTTTACAGATAAAAATGAAAAGTGTGGAGGGCCATATCTGCCTTGAAAATCGGCATTTGAATTTCTTCTTTTTGCCTGGATTGAAGCCTCGTTTTCAGACACAAAAGACGGGGAAATAAGCAAACCCCTAAACTCCGAACCAGGCGATTCTATACACACTGAGACAAATATAGTCAACGATTTCTGTTTGCATGTCTGCCTGTTGATTGTCTAGTTGTCATTTGGGTTATTGCAGCGGTCCCCAACCTTTTGCTCCACGGACCGGGTGTCATGCAAGCCAGTTCTTTTAGGGGTGGGAGTGTTGTTGATGTCGGTCAAGCGCATCACAAAACATTATAAACAAGACCGCGATAGTCAATAAAATGGAAAAAAAAAATAAAGGTTTTATTCTTTCTGTACGGCTAAGTAACAAGTGGTCCGCGGCCCGGTGGTTGGGAACCTCTGGGTAATTGTGTACAAGAAAGTAGAAACCAATGAAAGACTTGTTCAAATAAACATTTATTCTGGAAAAATATTAATCTTAGCTTTTATCGGGGCTTAAATACCGACCTCTAGCGAAAAAATATGCATTTCACCCATGAAGCTGATTAATTTAGCATGGCATAAGGTTACAAGTTTGGAGTTCTCTATGGGTCATATTTTTTCTGATCTTCTTCTTCTTCTTGTGTGTTTCGTGTCCCTTCAGGACATTGGCGATCATGGCTCTCCACAACTTCCTGTTCTTTGTAGCCCTTAGTAAATTTTGACTTTTTGTTATCTTTCCTCAACCTTGTTCCGCCATCCATTTATTCAAGCTTATTCTTCTTCTTCTTCTTCTTCTTCTTCTTCTTCTTCTATATGCCATGTCTCTTCAGGACGTTGGCGATCATGGCTCTCCACAATTTCCTGTCCTTTGTAGCTCAATAAATTTTCTCTTTTATTATTTCTTCTAAACCCTGTTCTATGCATTTAGACAAGCTTGCTTGGTAGCTTCTGCTTTGTTTTCCCCGGTCTCTCTTGATTTTTTTCCGTCATAGGACAATACTTGAACCTTGAAAAAAGGCAGGCTATTAAATGCTGATTTTCAGGGTATCGATTTCCCTTTTGATCTTATGTCATGTAAATCTGAAGTTAATACATATTCCGCAAATTCCGATTTTCAGATCTGAAAATAAATATTTAAAAATAATTATATAATATTTTTGTAATTTTTAAACCAAGTCCCATTTAGTGATGAGTTAATAAAAACTGAAATTTATTGCGTTCATTTTAATAAGAAGGATGGAATAACCTTCCGTTTTCATATTTTTTACTTTGATGTGTTCAGTTCCGGCCGAATCGAACTGAAGTTGCAAAGGATGAAAAATCTGCACTGATTTCCATCACATTTAAATTTAAAATTAATCAGTGCGTTAGGTTAAATAATGTGGACATGGTGGTCAATTAAAAAAAAACGGTAATTCCTGCTTTTCTCTAACCGCAACATATTTATAATAGAAGCACATAAAGCATGTCATAATATCTCAGAATTCCAAACCCACCTCTCAACATAGAATCCTTCTTTTTCAATCTTGGTGTTCTACTTTGAAATGAGGAACGACATAGAAATACACCGTAGAAGCTTTTTAGTTGACTTTCTCCTCTCGTCATCATTGGAGAACCGCTGTCCATTGAATGCAGTAAGCATATTTTGATTTGTGATGGAAACGGTCAGTATTCTGGGAAGAAGCAAAGGAACTGCAGACTCTAGCATGGCTCATACGAAGGTTTTCGGAGTTTTGAACTAGTGATTCTTCTGTTGGCTGCAATGAAAGTTTCAACCTGTTTGCTTGAATCTCATTCGTCGCAGCAGCTGCTGGACTGCCACTGTGGAACCTGTCACTAAGATCAGATTCTCCTTTCTCTCTAGAATAACCATTAACACTACTGGCCCATCTCTTTACATCAAGTACAGCCTTTCCATAAACATTCACTTTGAATGTTTGTATCACTTTCTCCTTCCATAAAAAAAAAAAGAAATTCTATAACAACTCTTTGTTTTTTTATATGTTTCCAAAAGGCCGGCCATTTTAAAAGAAAATTTTGACTAAGAAAAGAAGTTGTTTTTTTTTTATCTGAGTTTCTCGCTTATAACTAAAAAAATGCTTTAAAATTTAAACAGCTATTAGTTTTTGACCAACCCTTTTAGAAGGCTTCATACCTGCTAAAAATAAAACAACTAGCTTCAAATGAAATAAACAATAAATTTAGTTTGTATATTGAAAGATAGCAAGGAAGAAATAAGATCCTTAGAAGAGATAGATGAAAGAGAAGGTAAAAAATAACTGCCCTTATAACTCAGGGAGTTAAAACGATAAGTTTAATACTTTATTTACATTATTCAGACTATTATCCTCATCTTTGTCGCCTTATTTATCACAACGTTTCGGCCGTTGTACGCTCCGGCCTTCTTCAGGTGGTTGGAATTTCGAA